ACTTGTTTGAAATTCACTTGTGGCCATTCTACTCTTCAAAAATCAGACTTCTGCCTCTGAAGGCAGAAAAGTGATCCCGAGGGGACAGACCCATGAGCTTCTTGCGACAGGAATTTATCTTCTCTGAAAATTTTGGCCTTTTGAACTTCGCTAAAACCATACTTTTGTCCCTAGAAGCAAAATAATAGGAAGCTTGGTCTCGAGAGAAGAAAAGACTCAGGGCTCAGGCAGCAAGATATTTGCGCTAAAAATTTTTAGGTGTCAATATTTAATTATAAAGAAGATTGCTGGAAAAATTACGGCCCCTTCTTCTCAACCATACTCTAAGATAATTGCCGGGGGCAGGCGGCCACGCAAATTTTGAGCGAGCGGTCACCGGAAAAATAGTTCGCTGATTTTTTGCGGTCCGCGTCCAGAAAATGGAATAATTTTGGCCTATTTCAGACGAACGCTCGGAGAACTATCGCTGTCTTTCTATGGATTAGCTGCGGCGCAGTGGCCACATTCTCGCGGATTTTCCGCAAGAATATGCAAAATTTTCGGGGGCAGCACGGTCCTTTGTGAAGGACCGCACACCCCTTAGGTATCTTCCGCTGAAAGGAAGTACCTCAAACTTGAGTGATTAAAGGCACCGTCCACCCAAAATTTCAACCTCCATGTTTTTGCCGTTCCAGGGCCTTCTCATATCCCTGATTCCGAATATCAAGTTGAAAATCCGCGAAAACCACGAAAAACCCCCGCTTTCAGAACTCGCAGAGCGATTTCTTCGGTACGTGATTGGTTGGGCGCGCACGGATGGGCGGGACGAACGTCACGCCCACTCCGAAAGGGGAGGAGCCAACGTCGCGAACGCGGCCTGAAGCGATTTGCGAAGCAATTTTCTCGGTTCGGAAGCAACTTGAGGCAGCGCGAGTTGGGCAATCATTTAGTTGGGGGCCCCGCATCTGCTAGGTATCATAATTTTACCAACCCCAATTTGGGTGGACGGTGCCTTTAAACCATCGATGGCACCTCTGCCACATAGAGTCTCATTTTTACTCGGCGTATGCCCGAAACTGCGTTAAAAGAGTCCTAGCGCTTGCTGAAAGTTTAGGCAGCGCTCGATGAAAAAAATCATTTGCCGAGCGCTTGCAGAAAATGCTGTATTGTTGCCCGCTGGCAGAATATGCGACCGTAAAGAAAGTGTCGCCCGCTGAAGGTTTGGCCACGCCCCAAAATTCTGCTGACCGCTTGCAGAAAAGCGAGAGCTTCCTGGCCGCCTGCCCCCGGCGATTATCTGAGCTTCTGCCCCTAAAGGCGGAAGCATAAGGAGCTTGGTTTTGCGGGAAGGAAAGACCTAGGGTATTATGCGACAGGACAGTTTCGGTAACATTGTCCTTCAAAAGAAGGCGTTGGGCCAGCTTTAGTCTGTTCTAAGAAATGAGTCCGTTCACTGGCAAGACATCATCGAAGAAAATACTGCTTCGTTTTTATCTACATATCTGGGTTTTCGGCTGCTGGAAGACATAACTTCTCAGATAATCGCCGGGGGCAGGCGGCCATGCGAATTATGGGCGGGCGGGCATCGGAAAAATAGTTCGCTGATTTCTAGCGGCCCGCCTGCAGATATCTGGAAGAATTTTAGCGAAATTTTAGACGAATGCTTGGAGAACAATCGCGATTTCCTTGTATTAGGTTGTCCCGAAAGTTTTGTCGGTTTTTTCAGACCACCGTAAAACCACGCACAATAAAGACCTGAGTGAGTTTCAACACGCGTTCGATGCAGCTGTTCCTTCTCTTTCTTATGGTTACATTCTCATACCACACTCTTGATGTTTTATTTGATAATTGCCAAAATTCTCCACCCGTTAATTTTATCCGCTCAAAGTTGGGCTAATTTTCAAAAATTTCATTCCAAAGTTTTGAAAAGGGTCAAGTACGGATCAAATAGAGCAACTCTCGGGCTACAAGGTGGTATTTTTAGATACTCCTAATATGCTGATTTTAGCTTCAAAAATTATTTCTCCGGAGGTCTCTAGTTTTGGAAAAGTCATGAAAGACGCAAGTGCATCAAACACACGAAAGCTTTTCAAGTTTCTGCGTATTAAAACACAGTTCTTACTAAACATAATTTATGCAACATAACCAACTTTGATTCGCTTTGAAAAGCAGCTTTTTAAAATTTTTGGTACTTTTACATGTTAAACTTAATCAGAAAAGCCGCGGCTTTTATCAAATAAATAATTATAAACGACGTGGTAAACGCGGCTCATGTAATCTAAAATGGATGTAATGTAGCCAAAAATTTGCTCTACATAATAGTTACCAACGCTCTTTGCAAACATCAGAATAAAAAATTCTAAAATTCAAAAGATTTGGCGTTACTGCTGAGCTGCTCGAAAAGCCATGACGATAACATTGCAAAGACAGAGTAGATCAGAGAGCAAGTATAACTGTAAGAAAGAGGATAAAAATCTGAATCGCATGGTACCTAGATTGCCCACGAATTGGTGTTCTGTGAGCTTTAGTGAGCGAAGAAAAAAACCGACAAAACTTTCGTGACAACCTAATATATTAGCTGCGGCGCAGTGGCCGCATTCTCGTGGACTTTCCGCGAGAATATGCAAAATTTTCGAGGGCCGCTTGGTCCTTTGTGGAGGACCGCGCAGCCCCCAGGTACCTTCCGCTGAGAGAAAGTACCTCAAACTTGAGTAATTAAACCATCGATGACACCTCTGCCATGTAGAGTCTCAGCTTTGCTCGGCGTACGCCCGAAACTGCTTAAAAACCGTCCGAGCGCCAGCTGAAAATTTGATCGGCGCTCGCTGAAAGAGATTATTTGAGACGAGCGCCTACAGAAAATTCTGTGTTGCTGCCCGCTGGCAGAACATCAGACAGTAAAGGAAGTACCGCACGCTGAAGGTTTGGCCACGCCCCAAAACTCTGCTTGCCGCTTGCAGAAAAGCTGTTCTAAACAGGTGCTTGGAGGTAGCTTCCTTGTTCAGGAGTTGTGGTATCTGGGCGAAGGTATCTGCAAGAGGAACAGCAGAGATGCTTTGCTGACAGTCACTGGTAGTAGCTTCTTCTCCTAAGAGCATAGTGTTTTGTTTCTACTACTCACAACACGCGAAAGGTCGCTAGGAAAATGGAAATTCTCTTTCTTGGGATTTTTAGTTAATTAATGGCAGATATCAATGTATGCCCCCACCCACTTACTACTGACCCGTAGGGTCGCTAGTCTTATATATAAAGCTGAATGTGTGTTTGTCTGTATGTATGTCTATATGTACGTACGTGCGGAATAGAAATTTTTACTTCTGAACCGATTTGGACCAAACTTGGCACACATATACTTCGGGGCAGGGAGCGTGTCACAGGCTACTTTTCGTTATCGATCGATATCGATTTTATCGATTTTTTTGCAAAATTTGAGCTACGGGGCTGGGAGTTGGCACAGGGGGGGTAATCGAGCATGCTGATTACCCTATTTTCAGGTGTATAAGCCGCACCCTTTTCACTCTAAAGGCGAACACGCCAAAAGACTGACTGTCATCATGGAGCGCGTTAAGTGAGAGCAGTATGCGATAAGGCGACCGCTTCGCGAGACATATGCGCGGCGGCACGTCCGGGTCTGCTCGCGTTTAGAGCAAAAAGGGTGCGGCTTATACACCTGAAAATAGGGTACAAATATGTTATTGACAGGGCCAGGCGGAGCCGGGCTTGCCAGTTAGTTGCTTCCAAAAAAGGGGCGATACTACGATCCCGCCTCGACAAGTTTTGACGTGACCAACACAGTAGATCTACAGCACTCACCACCTCAAAACTTGTCAAGAAGGCGGGATCGGAAAACTGCCTTTTTTGGTACTATTCCACATTAGTTGACCCAAAAAATGAAAATCGTGGATTCGCTAAAACTTCGTTTAGAGGGGTTATTTGGTATGCTGAACACGAATATGATGTTTATTTTGTGCGACAGCGCCATCCGGTAAAGTTACGGTAGGACTACGGTGAAGGGTCAAAATCACGAATTTGCCCGAAACTTGGCCCAGAGGGGTTATTCGGCCCGCTGATGCCAAATATCATGTTGGTTTTGAACCGTAGCGTCATTTTCTCGGGTTAAGGTAGCTACACGTAACGGGTAGCTACCGTAACCCGAGAAAACAGGTGTAAAACATAGTACTGCCTGAAACGAGTGTACGATTCGGATGATCGTGAAGCTTTGCACACACGACCACCGCCGCGCGCTACACACCCTGCTGCAGCTTTTGCCTAAGCTAAGCAAGAGGGGGAAGATACATTTACCAACTTGTGATTTTGACGCCTACCGTAAACCTACCGTGTCCCCGCAAAAATTTTGAGAAGCACCCCAAAAAATTTTTCGGAATGCGTGGCTAACGCCACGCACCTTCATTAGAAACAAAATTTTGTCGCCCCCCCCCCCCCCGAGCCGAAATCCTGGGTACGCCACTGCCGTATACCCACCTTAATCCGAGAGAACGACGCTACGGTACAAAACCAATGTGATATTCAGCATCAGCGGGCCGAATAACCACTCTGGGCCAAGTTTCGGGCAAACCGTAATTTTGACCCCCTACCGTAATCCTACCGTAACTCCACCAAATGGCGCTGTCGCACGAAATAAATATCATATTCGTGTTCGTACCAAATAACCTCCCTAGACGAAGTTTTAACGAAATTCACGTTTTTCATTTTTCGGGTCAACTAATGTGGAATAGCGCCCCTTTTTTGAAGCGATTTCCTCGCTCCACAATCCACCTTTTTCGATCAGACTTGAACTGTTGCATTGATCAGGAGTCGCGCTATCGTACTGCATTGAGATCTCACCAAACTCCAGCTGACTTGGACAATGCCTTCAAGTGAGCATGTTAATTGCGAGAATGGGGACAAGAATTGGTATCAAATGGGGCGGAGTCAAAAAAATGCAAAAGTGGGACGAAATAGATAGTGGGTTGTATTATGGAATGAACAGAGCCGGGCTTGACTTTGTTGATAAATCATACCTGTAGAGCGTCCATTGGTTGGTTTTGTTGGTGATATAGAACGCCTATACTACACCATGTATCAGCGTCAGCCTCACTTTTATCTATAGAGTGCCTGTAGTTTAGAAACGCTTCATGAGCCTAAACTTGCAAATTTTAAGGACTTCTAAAGTTTCCCAGAACATACTTTATTTAAAGTTTCTCCATAACATCTTCCCAGGTAATAATAGGTTTTTCCATTAACAGGTTCAAACTCTCTCGAATTCTGCAGAAACTGCTCAGCTTCGCGAAGACGGCGAATTCGTTCGTCAGAATGTTCCGGGTAATTAAAACGATACGAAATCCAGCCTAAATGTGCAGATCTAGTTTGAACAGCTACTGATAAAAAAAAAAGGGGGGATAGGCATTACAGAGCAAAGCTGCACCGCATTTTCCGGCGGTATGTCCTGAGGGTCATTTGCGTTGCGTGGACTTTAATCACAGCCGCAGGAGAGCTAGTGCTCCTATTGCCGCGGATTGAGCTCCCTATTGCTATGCCCTGTGAAGATGTTCAAAAGAAAGTAATTGCAGTAAAGAGATCGGAAAATAAAAGGGAGGTGATTCTAGGCCGACACGGTAAGAGCAAAAAAAAGCTCAAGGGAAGCGGAACAGCAGCGGTGGAGAAGGAAACAAGGATTTTCCATCTGTAATTTTTTCTAATAAACCTAAACAATTTTCTTCCCTTTTCTTCACCTTCTGTTTCTGCTGTTCTACCAGACATCTTCTTGCTCCATTCTGTCTTTATCATCTTCCATTCTTTAATCTCTTTATCGCATTTATACTGTTTTGAACATCTCGAAATATCTTATCTGTTACATTCTCTGCCTCCGCTCTGCTCCACTCCTCGGTCAATTGACTGTGGGCCTCGCACTGCGCAGCTCTTTAGGCTCCGAGTGCCGAAGCCACGCCAACGCTGCGCCGGCGGAGCCGTCCGTCGCTGTTTCTAAATAAAGGTGCATTTCGTTCGGGGCGGGGCTAGCTGATTCTGAGCCGGCAAAGCGCTACCGAAGCTTTTGACAGAAATTCCGATCAATAGTCGGTGCATTTACCTGCCTGAGAACTAGGTCAGCTAGCCGCACCCCAAACGAAATGCACGTGTGACCAATCGGAACAGCGCCGGGACAGCTCGACGCTAGCTCGGCGCTGGCTCGGTGCCGGCGCAGTGCTGGCGTGGCTTCGGGACTCTGGCGGGAGCCTTAAACAGCGGGATGTGGGTGTAGGGATAACGAAAGGCTCAATCCGCTGGGCAGCGCTAGCTCTTTTGCGGCTGCAATCAAGAGCGACGCAATGCAAATGGCCTTCAGAATATGCCGCGGGGGAATGCGGCGTAGCTTCGCTCCATAACGCCACGCCACCACTGGAAAGGATAGCAAAAAGTCGACAGCCTGTGTATTACCTAGCTGTCTGTTTACAGCTGCTATTAATCGAGTCTGTTCCTGAGTATACTGTCGATCTTGTTGATGGCTCTGTGATTCCGCAAGCTAAACGATCGAAAGTGTGCTAGTATGACTAGATTCAATCTGCATAGTGCGTAAGAAGGCTAAAAATGTACAGGATGTTGTGCTCATGCAAACGAGTATTTCTACACACTGGTAGCGCTTGCCGATCTACTCAAGCAATAGAACAAACACCAACATGCACTAAATCTTTGCACACATCGCAACATTGCCAGTAATGACGGCTGCGTGCTATAGCCGTGGAAAGCAACGCTGCTACATACATTGAAAATAGTTTATAACTGAACGACAGAGCATACGAAAGACGGCGAATGTGCGCGAGGAAAGAGGAGTGACGCGCAGTGCAAAATTCGCGCCCTGCGCGGGCCTACATATATAAACACTAAAATGCGCGCCAGGATTGGCTAAGAATAAGGGCCCATCCGTTTAGGAGGAATATGATATGTAATCAGCCTTCCACGGGGTTTTCCGGTAGACAGAAGATTGCGTTGTTCGGATTGGCCACTTTAACTTATACAATCACTTCCTCGAGCCATCTTCTTGCTTCCAAACGCTTTCTGACGCTTGAAGTCTAACGAGGCTCTTAGTGATTAGTCACAGACTGAATGTATAATACAATTGTGTAAACTGATATGTTACCTCGCCTAGGATGTTTTTATATTCTTCTTCAGCCCTGGAGAGGTCTCCGGCGTTTTCGCTGCTCAGTGCAATGTTGAACCGAATGTGAGTCTTCGACAGAAAAGGAGTCTCCGATGAATCAGAAAGCGCTTGATTGTAGAACTAAATTACTCATATATCTTACCGTCGTCTGAATAGCATATGTTTCACAAAGCCCTTCCCACCTTCAGAGCACGAGGAAAATCACCGAGGTTCTGATAGCAAACACCTAGACGTGCTTTTACTTCAACAATGATGTCGAGGTTTGGATGAGTGTACAACAATCGTGAAAAGGAATCAGCAGCACTGAAAAAGAACGAGTAAAGAATGCTGAAACTATTCAATAAGAAGATGAGGTTACATTTCGTGATTCTTTAACGCCCAAAAAAAGATTTTTTTATCACAAAATATATGGATGATTCAAAGAGCGTCTGATGATGACAGGAGATCATTATGTACCATTTGATTCAACTGGCTTGGCATCGGCAAAGGCGGGGCTTCGTGACCTAATTAAGGCTAGGTAATGATCAGAGAGCACTCGGGCGAGAGAGACGCAGGTGCGTCGCGGGCGCGAGCGGCCTTAATTAGATCACAAAACCCCGCCCTAATGGTGCCAAGCCAGTTGAATCAAATGTTATATATCGGCCCACAGGCAGCTTCCCTTATGATTATTTCTTACAAACAGTCTGTAGACGGTTTGTAGGACAGTTTTTCACTCAGAATATAGTTCTGAAGATGGATTGTAGGGCAGCTCTTATGTACATTGCTCTGTAGGCGATCCCTGGAACACTTCGCCTTGTTATGTCGGTAAGCGACACGTAAGGCACGAGAAAACGATGTTTATTTTAGCTGCCAAATAGAATACCACTCACAGAATGTGCAAAGCTTCCCTGTATATCGCGGAATTCCGGTTATTCCGCGAAAGTCCGCTTTCCGGAATTTTGCGACGTTCCGGGAATTTCGCGAAATTCCAGAAATTTCGTGAAATATCGCAAATTATGCAGCACCATAACTTCCTTCAGAAGGGGATAATGTGTTCCTACCCCCTTCACCCACGGCCGATGAAGTACTGGAAGAAGTGAGACTAACAAGGGAAGTTCGCTGAATCGAAGTGGCCGATTGACATATGGTATATACCCTGGTCCGGGGCTGGGGAGGTTAGTATCAAATGTGCGCCCATAAGCTGCGACGCGTTATTGGGAAGCAAGTTATGACCCTCTGAAGTTTTTGGCGTGTGCATTTCTAGCAAACGCATGAATCGATCGTGGTCGATCGTGGTCGTGTGCTGTAGTGGTTAGTGTCTCGGACTCACAGGTGACCGGTGAGGGTTCGAATCTTGTTGCTGTCCACGTTTTTTGCGTTCTTCCCAAATTTCATTTTTCACCTGTTTTATGTATTATTGAGGTAAAAAATGACACATACGGCTGGTTAAACTCTACTGACTGAACATCCTGCCGTGTCATTCTCACAAGTACATTAGCAAGAATCAATAGTACGACGTGATACAACTTGGAGATTGTCACGTAAATACTACGTACAACCGAAATTAGTATGTGGGAATGAGAATTTGGCAAATCTTCAAAGTCAATTGACAAGCCGTCGCTCAAAAGTCGTTGCTATGTTCTGCCCAAATTCTACATATGAAATAGTGGTCGAATATTCGTGAGAAAAATCAGCCCATAAGCCGTGGGCGTCATTTTTTACCTCAATAATACATAAAACAAGAGAAAAATGAAATTTGGGAAGAACGCGGACGTGGACAGCAACAGGATTCGAACCCTCACCGTTCACCTTGAGTCCGAGACAGTAACCACTACACCACACGACCACGATCGAAGCATTTATGCGTTTGCTAGAAATGCACACGCCAAAAACTTCAGAGGGTCATAACTTGCTTCCTAATAACGCGTCGCAATTAGTAGAGTTTAATCAGCAGTATGTGTCATTTTTTACCTCAATAATACATAAAACAGGTGGAAAATGAAATTTGGGAAGAACGCAAAAAACGTGGACAGCATGCTCAGCGTCGTCGTTGGAGTCAACATGTCACTAAATTTAATTTTAATAATGCCGATAATTTTATAATTTTGCTTAAAGGCAGTGTCCGGGCAAAAATTCGATTTTGAGATTTTGTGCTTACTTGGGCCTATTCGCTACGCTGAATCCGAAAATGCACATTGTAGAGCGCGAAAATGGCGAAAAACGGCTCTAACACAGGACGGAAATGAGCAGGTGGGCGGGGTCCTCCCCACGGCGAATTCACGTTCCCGGCTTCCGGGGCGACCTTCTCGCTTCCGGTTTCAAGTCAATCATTCGCACTTGGCCGGTAGCGATGTTAGAACGGCTAGCGGAATCGAGAAAATCGCTCCGGGAGCTGGGAGCGTGAAATCGCACTGGGGAAAGTCCCGCCCACCTGCTGATTTCCCTCCTATATTAGAGCCCTTTTTCGCCGTTTTCGCGCTTTCCAATGCGGATTTCGGATTCAGCATGGCGAATAGGCCCGTATAAGCACAAAATCTCAACATCGAGTTTTTGCCCGGACACTGCCTTTAGAATGTTGAATTCTTAGTCTCACTTCTTCCAGTTTTTTTTTCTCCGAAATTAGCGGGTAAAGCCAATATTCGACTTTAACCCGGTTTGGCTACTTCCACTTGATGCATGTGAATGAAAAGAACATGAGAAGCAATGATGACGAACATCCCCCCCCCCCCCCAACCGGTTCGAGGTGTGCTTATAAGTAGACCTTGCCTAAATAAAACCTATCTGACAGTAGGTTTTTAACAAGTAAAGTCTGCTCTCGAATGTATACGTCCGGATTAAACTATGTGAAGTTAGATTTCACGCAAGGTATTTCGACATATAAAGCGCAAGTTCACTATGATTATCAATAGTAGGTAGTCTATACGCTTCGTCTTCTCGAAGTAACCTAAGCAGACGTCAAACTGTGGAAGATGTTCCAAAGTTTATCCTCTACAAGGCTATTCTAAGATGACGAAGCAGTGAGGTGTTGTTTATAAATCACAATAAGACTGGATTGTTTTGAGACTTACAATTTAGATAAATTATCTGACATTAGTGAGAAAAAGTAACTTGAGATATAGAATGACCTGGGTCATTTTACACATCCCCTAAACGATTCGAGATTGTCTCGTATCGCTCTTCTTCTTTTCCGCAGCTTAGTGAGCTAGTGCTTCTTATGAAGAGTAAGTCTTTTGTTCACCTATGCCTCCAGTTGAACCCCATCCATAGCCTCCTATAGCTTGCTCAGTGTCACGTGCGCGTTATATTTGTCTGAACAAGTTTGAACAAGTCATTTCGCGCATTTCGCGCTTCGGGTCATCTACGTGCAAAACTGGAAGGCGGCATCGCTTTGAAGTGCGAGGCTCGGGAGGATCCTGCACGCCCTCCCTCCGTTTCCAGTTTTCTCAAATTCTTCTGCAGAGGTCCATTCGCAAGGATGTAACGCAGCGCCTACCCAACCTGAAAGATACCAGTATAGGCTGCTGCATGACGAAGGCGCAATATCTTTGGGCGCGAACGCGGCTTTTTTAGCCGCAGAGCGCATGTACCTCAGGCTTTACGACGGTGAAGATACGCGCGCGTCGCGTTCGCGCCCGCTCAACTAATATTGCTTCTGTGCCTTCATCATGCAATAGCCTTTAAGTATATTTCGATAGTGCTGTTCGTGTAGATTATAGTGCGCTAGAAAGTAGCGCCGCAGACTTCTTTCCAAAAGAGATAGAAACGATAGTGAACTCTGGAAAAATCGCGCGTTTGTAAATTCAATTAGCCGTAACTTCCTTCGGAGTGAATAATTTCTAAACCCGAAAAAAGAATCGTGCTCAGCTCATCAAGGCGAATCTTTCTATATACAGCATATTCTTGATATTCCGATTTCAGTATTCTTGAAACTTTCTGCGGACTTCTCTTCGCAAAGGTGTAAAGCAGCGCGTATTGGCCATAGTAGATTCCAGCAAGAACGTTTCGATATTGCTTCTTCTGTAGATTATGGAGCGCCAAGAATTAGCCGCACGCTTCTTTCCAAAGGAAATAGAAGATCTGGCTGGAAAAATCATGTCGTTCTAAATTTTTCTCATCATAAATCTACAATATGAAGCTCTCTTGAAGCAGATATGATTTTCGTCATCAGCAGGTCGGATAACCTCTATGAGCAAGTTTTCCGAGATGTTCGCGTTATTTCATTTTTCCTCGTTTCACGCTCTGAAGCTCGCCGAGATTTTTGTCAAAATGTTGAGGATCTTGAATTGTAAGGAAACTTCGCTTATAGAGGTTTTCGGGCACGCTCTTTACGAAAATCGTGGTCTTCGAGGAATGTAGGGTCTTTCTGCAGAGATATGGTGACGTAACCATATTTGAGTCACGAAAATGCGTAACTTTGCTGGCACTTCTCGCGTATCTGTCAGAGAACTTGCCCGCTCGCTTTTATAAATTAAATTTACTAGGAATTATGCCATCAAATGGGGCATGTCTCAGACTCCACTCTACAAAAATTGCCCAGTTAAGAGACTACGAAAACACGTCCTCATAAATTTTGCACGACATGTAAAGATCGCGTACTTCTCGAAATCCCACCTTGAGTGGTTGTATAACACGCTAATCAATTTTATTCAAATCGCTTAATAGGCCTTCTTGTGTTGGACTTGATAGTTAGACAGATCTGAGCTTTTTCACCTTGAGTGGTTGCATGACATCCTGGTTGCAAGTATTATGTTCACTGTTCACTTCGAAGTAATCCCTTGTATTTATTATGGTTGTGGGTGTGCTTCAGCTTAACTGAACATCAAAGCCGTTTCGAGCTAAAGCTCAGATTTGTCTAACTTTCAAATCCAACACAAGAAGACCTATTAAGCGATTTGAACAAAATTGATCAGCGTGTTATACAACCGCTTAAGGTGGAATTTCGACGAAGTACGCGATCTTTACATGTCGTGCAAAATTCATGAGGACGTGTTTTCGTAGGCTCCTAACTGGGCGATTTTTGTAGAGTGGAGTCTGAGACATGCACCATTCGATGGACAGTTCCCAGCAAATTTAACCTACAAAAGCAAGCGGCAAGTTTTCTGACAATGTGTGCGAGAAGTGCAGGCAAATTTACGCACTCGTGCCTCAGTTACGGTTACCTTACCATATCTCTGCAAAAAGATCCTGCATTCCTCGAAGACCACGATTTTCGGCCAAAATCCATCGGCGAGCTTCAGAGCGTAAAACGAGATAAAATGAAATAGCCCGAACATCTCGGAGAACTTGCTCATAGAGGTTATCCGACCTGCTGCTTACGAAAATCACATCTGCTTAGCAAGAGAGCTTCATATTGCAGATTTATGGTGAGAAAAATTTAGAACGACATAGTTTTCCAGCCTGCTCTTCTATTTCCTTTGGAAAGAAGCGTGCGGCTAATTCTTGGCGCCCCATAATCTACAGAAGAAGCACTATCGGGAGGTTCTTGCTGGAATCTACTAGCAACAATACGCGCTGCTTTACACTTTGCGAAAAGAAGTCCGCAGAAAGTTTCAAGAATACTGTAATCGGAATATCAAGGATATGCTGTATATAGAAAAATCCGTCTTGATGAGCTGAGCAGAAGCTTTTTCGGATTCAGAAATTATTCACTCCGAAAGCTACGGCGAATAGAATTTACAAACGTGCGATTTCCCCGAGTTCACTACCGCTTTTATCTCTTTTGGAAAGAGTCTGCGGCTACTTTCTAGCGCACTATGATCTACACGAACAGCACTATCGAAATATACTTGTATCTTTTAGGTTGAGTAGACGCTGCGTTACATTCTTGCGAAAGAACCTCCGCAGAAGAATTTGAGAAAACTGGAAACGAAATATAGAGGGCATGATGTATGTCAAAAGATTCGCCTTGACGAGCTGAACACAATGCTGCTTTCGGATTCAGAAATTCATTCCGAAGAGAGTTACGGCGCTGCGAAATTTGCGAATTCCGGGAGTTTCGCGGAATTTCCGGAATGTTGCGAAGTTCCCGGAATGTCGCGGACTTTCGCGAAATACCTAAATTCCGCGACATTCATGGAAATTGTGCACATTTTGTGAGTGGTATTGTATATTCTATGCCTAGAGATAAGCTAGAAAGGCATTCATGTTGCAAGAAAATCATAACTAGTCCGCGAAAGAACCTCCGAAGAATTTTAGAGAACTGGAAACGGAGTATAGAGGACAACATGATATACTTCAAAAGATTCGCATTGAAGAGCTAAACGCAATGCTGCTTTCGGATTCAGAATACAGGGTGTCCCAAAAAAATGCGAACACTGTTTAATTGTAAATAACTTTCTCGTAATAGAGTTTCTCGAGAAGCTTTAAATACCATTTTGTAGAGCGAGGTTAAACTTAGATTTACAGTATGGAGCGAATCGTCGACAGCTCTTCATTACTGTAGGATTACGGTAGGAACTTCGACAAGGATTTTAGGCCATTGGAGGCCATATTCTACCTCGGAACAAAACCAAACAAGCCAAAAACTTCTATACTATGGTAATGGAAGCCGCTGATTTCGAATATGAAATTTCCACTCTACTGTGATGCTTTTTTCCAAGGTTATCTCAAATAAAGCGTAATGATTGAATTTCCAGCATTTGTCATGAATGTGGCTACACTTCAAAAAAGCCAAAAACACTCGTAAAAAGTTGTGTAGTGGAATTAGCGTGCACGAAAACCCTAGTACACGACTTTTTGGATTTTTTTTAAAATTTGTCAATGGCATATTTCACAATGGATCCACATGCTAGAAGTTTATACCGTAATCCTATAGTAACGAAGAGCAATCGGTGATTCGCTCCATACTACGAATCTAAGTTGAACCCCGCTCTACAGAATGGTGCCTCAAGCTCAGCGAAAGACATGAAAGCAACGGAGTTATTAACGATCAAACAGTGTTAACATTTTCTGGGACACCCTGTATATTCATTCTGAAGGAAGTTATGGCGCTGTATAGGGTGGCGAACTTTAAGAACGATAGCGCGCGCTTAGGCAGGCGTGTGTCAATAAGATGCACACCGTTAGCTCCGCCTATCGCTGGATTGACGAGTTTCTTGGCTACAGCTTCGGTACTGGATCATCGCTACGTCTACTGGTTCATTAAAATCAGCCCCCAGAGTACAAAAGTTTGTCTCAAGTCAGGGAAAAGCTCGACTAATTTCACAAAAATTTTCTCTTGTTTTCTTCTAATATTTTGCCAATTTGTGAACTGATGTGTTGATCTTGGTAATTGGCGTTTGCTGACTTTATTTATGAGTGACCCGCTCTTCGTAGCAAATTTGGAGTGAATTGCCTGAGTGTCCTCATATCTTTAAAATAGTTCACGCGCAGTTTCGCTTTAACCAACAATCAATTTGATCTGAAAGTAACAGTTTTTGTAAACAATAACGGATATTTTTCAGAGCAGATTCCCAAAAAAACTATAAGCGAAGTAAAATTTTGATTTTTTTCAATAAATTTAAGTATGGCCGAATATCTGTTTCTGATCGTTCATATTATCAAAAGTGATTATTCATACAAGTTATTATAATGTAGCAATTTAGTATTGGTGGATATGAACATTGTGATGAAACAAATGCAGCTTTTCCTAGACAAACCGACATCAAATCTGAAAAATCGCAGTTTTATGCATTTGCAACGAATGATTTGAATCATACAATATAGAAGGGTGAGATGTTGCTCTTATTAATGCTCGTGCGGAGCCAGAATTGCCAGTTGGAATTTCTTGGCTCGTTAAGCTAGAGGGTAACCTTTGATTCAACTGGCTTGGCTCCGTTAGGGCGAGGTTTTGTGATATAATGGAGGCCGCTCGCGCCCGCGACGCACCTGCGTCTCTCTCGCGCGAGTGCTCTCTGATCATTACCTAGCCTTGATTAGGTCACGAAGCCCCGCCTTTGCCGAAGCCAAGCCAGTTTAATCAAATGGTATACTGCTTTCAGTCAAGATTACGGTTTGAAACTCACTTTTCCAGTATAAGTAAATCATGCTGATCGGATGTTTCTGCATGAGAATGACCTATTCGGCAGGTTAATTTCTTTGCAAACGAAGTCACTACAGTATATGATAAAACAGAACATTCGAAATGACAAATGGAAACAACGTAAATTTATACATTTCTCAAGCATTTTTCAAACTATTCTTCTTGGAGCTCTAATGTAATGATAAATTTGGACCAACCTACTGAAAAAGAAGAAATGACGTATGTCAAAAATAAGCATGCAGTTAACTTCAAAATTGAAAATAATTCTGAAAGATGATTTTCGAATTATTTAAACAGTAACCTATTCTATAGATTCAAATTTGCACTAACATAAAGCCTGGGTAATGTTAAGGAGACCCTACTATAAGTGCGGCGCATTCCTATGCCAGTTAACCAGAGGGCGGAGCGTTTACCGCACCGCGTACGGTACCCAGCTGGCGGCTGACACATGCTATCGTTCATAAAGTCACTCACCCCGCTGCGTACTTTGCGATATTCCAAGAGTTTCGCGAAATTTCCGGAAACTCGCGTAATTCCGAAAATGTCGCGGACTCTCGCGGAATACCCGAAAATCTGCGAATTGCACAATTGCAATTTTGCACATTCTCTCAATGGTATTGTAATCTCAGCTTAGAGTGCTCTTTGATAAAGTTTTGAAAAAATCATTTTGTCGAAATTGAGGTAAGTTTCAGCAAATAAAAGTGAGTTCTTTGTGGGATACATCGAAATCATAGGTGATGATTTTTTCTTGGCAAAACTGAGGCAGTTTTGGGAAACAGAACTGAATTCTCTATAAGTTACATAGTAGCTATAGGTAGTTTGCTATTTTCAAAACGATTCTCATAAAACACGTAGAGCATGGCTTAAAGGAGGGAAGATGAGGGGAGGGGGAAGGGAGAAGTACTGAATGAACTGGGAAGAGGTTATTTGTATTTAAGGGCGTAGTATTGGTCAAAATATCTTTCTTTCCTAAACTATCGTAAGGTTCTGGCAGAAACATTGAGAAATGTTGAATGATTCGTAAAGTTCTCCGCTTTTTTTGCTAAAATCTCTTCCTTGGAATTGGCTTTTCATACAGGGCTTGTCAAATAAAGTGTCGCTTGCCCCAACATTTCCACTTTCGCGCTGGACTCTGCATCTCTTTCGCGGAAACATGCTCCCTAATCACTTCCAATCAATTGAGGCTTCGCCTTTCCCATGCTCGCCCTGGGAAAGTACTCAGAGAGCATGTTCCGCGGAAAAGACGGAGAGTCCAGCGGGCGAGTGGAGATGCTGATGCAAGCGACACTGCGTTTGATAAGCCCTATAAATAGCTCTCAAATAAAGAGCGGAAAATGTAGAGATATCTGCAGTTACAACTAGACGAATATTGATGTGTCCGCCCCGACCCACTTATGCGGATGCGCCCACAACTCGGAGCACCCTATGGGACGCTAGTCCATGAAAAGAACACATAGAAAAAATAGAAACCGTCACAACTCTGCATCAGATCGTGTGTGGAAGCATGAACACAAGCACTCACAGCTTATATTCTTTGAAATGTATGTAGACAAGACCAAGTCCAAAATATGCGCCGGGATCCTGCCAGTACTCATTCGGTTGCAGTCTATAAGCCTCTTGATACGCCGACAAAGCTGAAAACAGATCGACAAATTACAGAAGATTTTCGTGATAAACTTCTTTATTGTACAAGGCTTTGGCACATCTACAAGAATCATCAGCCATGGATGATGGAATTTTCTAGGTATGTGCACGTCAAACAAACGGCACCTTAACTTCGTGCACAACGTCCACAGAGCTAACTTAACACGTTGATAACCGTGTGCATACGCGCATCTGCATGCCCTGACATCCGTCTAGCACTTCCGTCATTTTCCATGTGTAAACGAAAAGTTCTGTTGTAACCTCTACGCAGTAATAGTATAGTGGCCTGATTGTCATATAGAACACAACATCGCGGTAGCTGCACAGTATACTTAGGGAAATTCGAAGTTTTCGAATATTTGAAAATCGATGATATTTGAAAATCGAAATTCTCGAATATTCGACTATATTATTCGAAATCTCAGATTTTCGAATCATTCGCATTCGAATGATTTATTTGAATAACATTCGAATAATCGAATAACCATTCGATTCGGTCCAAGTATACAGCACAGGAGTTTGCACCGCAGATTTAGATGTACAATCCATTTTGATGTGCTCCAAGATGGCTCGGTCGTGAACGTGCATAGAGCGCGTCCAAGGAAATCCGATACATGGGACCGCAGATCGAGGTGTTCCAGGCGGCAGCGCAAGTATTGCACTAGTACTGAGATTCATGAGTTGCTGAGGTCTGTCCTCTCCAAACAGAATCCGCTACCGTACGGCAGACGACTTGCACCGGATTGCATGTTATTGCGTGAGGACCTACCCTCGTGATGAGTCCTCGAGGCTGCGTTCATACTAATTCTCGAAGTTGGGAAACAGTTCCAGCATAGCGCAAAACTGTGCTGGACCTGTTCCGGAACTTTCACATCAGTATGAACACAGAACGCACACAAGCCGATGCATCTGCGCCAAATGAGGTGGAAACAGGTGCACACGACCTCTGAACTGCACCCTATTGCCACCAAAGCAGTTTTCGAGCAAGGTTGCAAATCCTGAGAATTACCGCACTGTGAAAATGGACGCTCTCGGACAATCCTTCGCGCAGGCGCAATGCAACAACGGTACTCGCGAGAGAGTTGCTCAAAAAGTTGGAAGACACATGCCCTAATACGAAGGTCTCAACCAGCTGTACAGTCTAATCATTTCATATGATCATGTGTGCATTGCAGACACCGTTCATCGGCGTCCTCCTCCTGGATTTGCAATCGCAAAAACGCAAGAGACTGACCGAATGTTATCGTTACATCATTTAAAGAATAGTAACTAAAAGGGGACGGTCAGGAGCAGGGCCCGGCACAGATCGTCTAGAAGCAGGCTGGACTTCGTTTTTGGAGGAAAAAGCAAAGGGGATATCGTTTTTGACGAATCGGGGCCCAACACCAAGAATAAGCGCCATTTAGTCGAATAGAAGCTTTTCGGACAGGTTATCACACGGTTGACATGCTCTATCGTGTTTGGCGAAAAGTGCGCGCGATTTGAAAGCAGGGCTAAAATCAACAAATTGCTCGTTTACAGCGCACACAGAATCATATGACACCAAAATTGAACTATGTGTATAGAAAATTATTTGCGGAAGAATTATGTAAAAAGATTTGAAAACTTATGTGAAGAAATACGTTTTCCAAAATTAGATCGTCTTCAGACGGCCACCAGACGATCTGAGATCGTCTGGAGCATATATTTTCGTCACTTCACATAAGTTTCGGATCTTTCCAGCATGGACGGATGCCCCAGTCAAGGACCTATCTCTGAGCATAGGAACATTTCCATATCATTCCCTATCCGTCGCTTTTTATCCTATTTTTTTTCGAAAATCGCCTTGTAAGATATCGCGCCCCACCGCCATTTTGTGTTGGCGTGTTGTCGGTCCAGTTTTGTGATCGTGGTTTCATCAAATTTTCATCCGGTCCTGTTTGCTTACGCAGTTCTTCACGTGTGCTCTTCTATTTCGCATTGCTCATTAGAAGTAGATTCATTTGTAAGTGCCGTTCAGATCGACGAGAAGCCGAACAATTCGTCGAGCAGTGACTTGAGTCAATCTATATTGATGGTGAGTCGGAAGTACTTCATCAAAACATCGTGCTTATTCTAGAAGTCTTTACTCAAAACTGGCTCTATTTTGTGTAGATGAAGTCATAGGTTTTCTTCTTAAAACATTCTGTGCTGCTTTTTACTTCGGTATTACTTGGGAAACATTATGTAGTACCTATTATTGCCTTATTCTAAGTCTCTGCAGCCTCAGTGTTTCTCATGCACGCTTTCGAATATTTTTTTTACACGTTCATGTCCACCTATATATCTTATACTTTGCTAGTTCGCGACGTTGGACTGCGGCCATTGCGCGGCTACTTTACTGTGATGCACGATATTGTGCATATTGGCAACTCGAAGTAAGTTTAACGGACAGGAGTTCTCGATGGCCAAGCTATTGCGCTCACCACATCCAAATCAAGAACTGTGAGTTTTGCAATATCAAATTAGTTTAATCGATTATGCTTTGTTAATGCCCTCTTTTTCTTTTTGAATGCTTTGTTTGGCATCGATCCAACACTTGTAGGTAGTGAGAGCATACGATCTGCACTTTTCTAACTTAAGGCAGGTTCCAGACTTATAATTTAACCAATTCCATTTCAACCCGTTCGCTATTGGTCATTTGATTTAACTGATAACGAATGGGTGAATCGGATAAGCCTGGCGCCTACCTAACTGTTTGAGCTTTTGCACTCAAAAACAAAGACTGCGATGGTATTGCTATTTAGACAAACCGCGAGGAGTGGTATCCACAGTAAAGGGTGATTATAACTACCATCATTACATGCAAGATGGAATCGACATTCTGGTGAGTACCTATAAAGCTCGTAATTTCTTCTACTGTATATGTGGATAAGGTGGGGTTGTGCTTATCGAAGTCTCCAGCCAATCTGAAGCTGTTTTATCCTCAATGGATTCACTGCTAAACCAGTGCCAACACATTTGGACATTCAAAAGGTAGGCTCTTTCATTTTTTAAATTTGATGCACTGACGTGTTTCTTCCAGTGTTTGGTGGAAATCAAAGACAAGGAAGAGGTTTATTGGCAGCAGATAGTGGATTGGCAGCACCGAAATTGGTTTTGTGCTAGATCAAATGCTTGGTTAGTATATGTGAAGAGATGTCGTTTAATCGACGAAGAAAATGAAGGTAGTTTCATTTTGGATTCAAACTTATTGTTATTGAGATAATTCCTTCAGGTGCTCACTTTCGTCTCGAATCCCTTCCACTGCATCTCCGTTGCAGGTTTATTGAAAAAATTTCGCTGTTTGATGGTATGAAAGAATCTGCTGAGAGTTGCCGGTGTTCCAGTTGCTTTAGCGCTTTGATTTTTTTTATTGTTTCAATGTGTTTCCGGATTGTATCCCATATGGGGTCTCCAGCTTTCTTTATGACCAACGTTGTAAATACTATTGCGTTCTCCTGGTAAGTGCGTCCTAGTGATGTCGAACTAATTATGTCCAGCAAATGAATATATGATTAAATTATGACAATGTTGTTCCAACAAGAATTACACTAGAGGGAGATAATCACTTTTTAGCAGCAGCGCCTCATACTGAGATAGTAAAAAAAATTAATGATTGCTGATCAAGAAAGCATCGACTGCAGTTTTCAAGCTGTTTTGCAACTGGTTTTTCCATCCTTGGTAATGACGCTACTGGTTCTTCCATCCTTAGCAATAAATGATTTGGACAATTTATCTCTTGAAAAGTTTGTGTCAATCTTGAGTAAAGAAATCCTGTGACTTTTGAAATGTGAATAAATATCAGTGTAAATATCATTTGGAATATCCAAGAACACCTGGTATTTGAAAAATGCCGAGTTTTCCAAATTTCAGGAGCTTTTTCATCATAGTGGAAAGGACAGACCAATCAGGCCTCTAAACTACTAACAGTCAGAGGATGGGAGGGGGGATACAGCAAGGGTCAAAGGGGACTTCGCAAAATTTCTGAAAGTCAGGGAAGACTTCGTCTTCAGAAACCCTAGAAACCGACTCGTGCCGGGCCCTGGTCAGGAGGTACGATCGGCGCGAATTCTTCGCGAAGCGATGCCGCAACGTACTTCAGCCCTTACAACAGCAGTATTTCTGGCGCAGTCTTACTTGTAGCACCAAGTCATGTATCTGCCCCCACCCTTACCCTCCTGTTTTTGCCGCCGGGAATCTCTATTGGCGGGGAGTCTTGGAGGCCCCAAGATTTGAGCGCGGCGTGTGCGGAAGAGCGGCCGCCGCGCGCGGCGTACCTCCTGACGTACAGCCTAGCGGAAGGGTTGTCTGCCTCAAGAATCCAGGATGGGGACGCCAAAGGTGGAGAGTGCGTGCAATGGCACACAAAATCATATGAAATAATTCGCCTGTAGTTGTCCCCTCAAAGGCAGAGTCCAGGTGAAAAGCCGATTTTGAGATTTTGTGCTTATCTGGGCCTGATCGCTGTGCTGAATCCAATCCATACTGGAGAGCGCGAAAACTGCAAAAAAGGAGTCTAACGCAGGAGGGTAATCAGCAGGTGGGCGGGGTTTTCCCCACCGTAAATTCATGCTCCCAAATTCCGTGGCGATCTTCTCGATTCCGCTAGCCGCCCCGACAGTTGCATTTTCGGACATCGCCACCGGCCAAGTGCGAACGCGTGACTTAGAATCGGAACCGAGAAGATTGCTCCGGAAGCTGGGAGCGTAGATACACAGTGGGAAAGACCCCCCCCCCTATGCTAGAGTCTCTTTTTGTCGTTTCTGCGCTCTCCAGTTGCATTTTCGGATTCAGCATAGCGAATAGGCATCCGATAAACACAAAGTCTCAGATCACTTTCCTGCTGCCCTGGCGGCGTCGCGCTATGGAGCAAAGTACGCCGCATTTTCCTACGGTATATCCTGAGGAAGATTTGCATTGCGTCACTCTAACCCTCTGTATCACTGAAAGTGGCGGGTGCTGGGGCTCTGGGCTTTGCGCTCTGCATCTC